GTATAGGTGAGTATAATAAGCTTGTGCAGTAATGTGTGGGGTTTTCTTGTCTAAAAAACGCTGGTACCAAAAGGGCACCAGAATTACTATTGGGGGCAAAGGAGTATACAACTGCGATAGATATATGGTCTGTCGGCTGCATTTTTGGTGAACTAGTAAACAAGGAGCCGCTATTACCCGGGCGAGGCGAAATAGATCAACTGAAAAAGGTATGCGGCGAATGCACAATGGCATATTAGTCCCACAATCTGATCAAATTGTTGAATAGATGTTCCAGCTATTGGGGACTCCAACTGAGCGGACGTGGCCAGGCATGGCAGACTTACCTGGTTGTAAGACATTCAGCTTCGCAAATCAACCGTACGTGGGGGCACGTTTGTGCCATCGAGCCGTTGTTCCTTGATAAGGTACCAAAACCTAAAGTATTCTTTCTCCTGCGCTCCAGATATAACAACCTCAGAAGCAGATTTCCTTATTTGACCGAGAATGGATTAAATCTGATGACAAGGCTTTTAACATATGATCCTGAAAAGCGCATCACAGCAGAAGAAGCACTCCGCCATCCATATTTTACGTACGTCGACCTGTTAGCCAATTATGTTCTTGCCAAACACCCACTTATTCTAATTTTGCATGCAGGGAAAATCCGTTACCCAAAGATCCATCACTTTTCCCGACGTTTCCCAGTAAAGGTGCGGGCGAGAAGCGAAAGGTATACGACTCCCCATCCGCACCCAAAGCCGCGCATGGAGGAGAAACTCTCGCTGGCGATGGAGATGAAGGGGGAGGGTTGTTTGATGCTTTGCAAGCAGAGCCGGTTGCTGCTTTTCGGCTCAAAGTGTAATATACATAGTAGATCACGGCAGTTGAATTCCAGCTGGATGACAGCCAAATAAAGAGATTTTGGAGCCCTAATCTGCGTATGTAAGCAATATAAGCCACCCTCATTAGCTAATAGATCGCGTCCTCGAACGGTTTCAAACTCGAAAACAATTCAAGACCTGTCTCAAAGCGCCCCCCATCTTTTTGCCTTGAACAAACGAGCAGAAAGCTCTACCAATGTTACAGCCAGAACAAGAAGGAGAAGGATTCTATCAGTTTCTGTAATACATGATGCCTTTTAAAGTTAAAAACCTTTGGGCGGCTGTGGTCAGCCTTTCCTGCTGCCAAGATCCGCCCCGACGTTTGCTTTCGTTCCTCATCACTTTATGCATGAACTTTTTATCCTACCCATCAAAAGCGTTCAATATCATTGAATCTACCTCACTATGAAGTGCCTATTGGCGCTAGCTTCTCTCTTTGTCGTCCCTGTCCTCGTCCGAGGTGAAATATATTTTAAAGAATCTTTTGATGATGGTTGTTTAGTGAAAGCGCCATTCCGTGGAACTTCCTTGCATAGCGTCGGATTCTAATCAACTCAACCTTGCCTACAGACTCTTGGAAAAAGAGATGGGTTCAGTCAACTCACGATAGCTCATATGGCGCTTTCAACGTCTCTACAGGGGCGTTTTATGCAGACGCCGTGGCCAATCGAGGTTTGGTTCCGCCTGGTGTTCCCCTTTCAAAAACAGAATCCGAGGCTCACTTTTTCCCGGACAGCTTTGCAGACGACCCAAGACGCCAGATATTATGCAATTACGGCTCCTTTTGATAAAGAGTTTGACAACAAGAATAAAACGCTGGTTATACAGTATACGGTAAAGTTTGAGAATGGAGCAAGTAAGTACACGACAGCAAGCCAGTCTCGACAACTTTTTTTTTTCTGATCATTCTGTATCTTGGCCATGAAAAGATTGCGCTGGTGGTTACCTCAAGGTGATGATTGATACCCGATCGTTCCATAATCGTCGTCAATACTCAAACAGCGTCCTCAGATCCTTCCGCCGGGAATCAACGTTTTGGGCTTCAATGGAGAAACGGTAGGTCCAAAATCATTTGCATCGTAACTCGATAAATCTACTCACTCACACTTGTTTTTCGTCTCCAGAATTACAATATAAGTACGTTTGTCTTGTAATACTCATTATTGCAATGCCGGCGCATGGTACTTACTGGCTCTTTAAAAAGTGTTCGGACCGGATATCTGCGGTGGCAACACAAGGAAGGTGCACCTGATTTTTAATTACAAGGGAGAAAACCATCTGGTCAATGTCGACATGTACCCAGCAACCGACCAGCTTACTCGTATGTATCTTCCAACCATCATCATCCAATTAGCCACATGTTGACTGATATATTGTCCATTGCAGACCTGTACACGCTGATTCTTCACCCAAACCAAACTTATCAAGTTTTGGTCGACAATGAAGAAGAGCACTCTGGGTCACTACTCGAAGATTTCAACTTTTTGCCTCCAAAGAGAATCAAGGATCCCAATGTCAGCAGACCGGAAAATTGGGACGGTATGATCAAGTTATTTCAGAAACAGAAAAAAAAACATTTTTTGAAAAAGCGTTACTAAAGTTCATGTCATATATTATTAGATCGAGAAACGATTCCGGATCCGGATGACTTTATGCCAAGCGACTGGGAAGATGAACCTGAAGAAATTCCAGACCCCAATGACCCACCTCCAGATGACTGGTAAAAGAATCATGTTCACGGACATTAAAAAAAAATAGAAGCTCATACCTCTTGTTGATTCAGGGATGAGGAGGAAAATGGGGAATGGTACCAACCAATGGTACCAAATCCGGCCTGGAAGGGAGAATGGAAACCAAGGGTAGGCCAACGGAACGTAAGATGGGGGGAATGGCAGCCACTCACTCTGCCCCATTTCTTTAGCAACTCCCAAACCCCGCGTACAACGGGACTTGGGTTCATCCAGAAATCGATAACCCCGCATATTGTAAGACCTCCCCAAAAATCGTTCTTCCAGCCGTACATTTCAAACATTGATTTACCCCGTTTCTGCTAGTCTTTGACAGTGAGATATATGCCTACAAGTCAGCCTATATCGCTTTTGAGCTCTGGGCAGGTTACTGCTGGTTCACTATTCGACGACATTATCATCACGGATTCAGTGGAAGAGGCGAGAAAGTTTGCCAAAGAAACATTTATGAAGAATAAAATACCGGAATGGGAGGCGAAACAAAAGTATGACGACGAGCAGGCTGATAGGATCAAAAAGGAGAAAGAGGCCGCTGAAGCGGAAAACAAGAAAAAGGAGGAGAAAAAGGCTGGCCATGAAGAACTGTAAATCGACCTATCCCCTTGGCTATATAATATGGAAACCATATATGTACATTACATTTTCAAATTTACATGATTTGTAGCGAAACAGCCGCCTTGACCCCATCATCCCTGCATGCGCCAATATTTGTTACTCATAGGATGCTCCACGAGATAGTCGTGGCCGTACTCATCGTACATTTCCTTTGTAACAACACTTTGTTTGAAACCATCACTGTCGGAGGATGCCCATCGGGCTGCTCCTTTCCAAGCATCCAGTTGAGGATCTGCAGCGCGTAAAACACGTATCGATGAGCCATATGGACGTAGAGCACGAATGTCATTTTCTATTCTTTGTGCCATATTTGTGAACAGGGTATTACCGCCGGTAATAAGCACGCTCTACAAAAACTCGCATGAGTCAGCATTATCGGCCTTTAATGGCAGACTAGAGAGACTGACCTGCACCATTCGGGTCTGCTGCTCCGCAGAAAACCGCTTTAGAATATCCGCAAACGTCTCGATGATCCCCGCTTGGTCAAGCCCCACAATGCTAGGCTGAAAAAGCACTTCAGGAACCCGTATCCGTTCTACATTCAAGTGAATCTGGTTTTGAATAGCCGGATCTTCCGGATCCACGTTTCTTGGTCCATGGGCAAGGCGGAATATAATGGTATTTTGGAATGGGCGCTCATCATATGGATTCTCTGGCACAAAACCGGGATCGTGCGTCATTAGCAAGTCATCCAGCTTGCTAAGCGCTACAGCATCCTCATCCTCATCGCTGTCTTCTTCTCTGCTCTACACATCAAATGGAATAAGGAACGAAAACAGGATACATAACCCTTTGTAGCCACTTACGATTTCGCGATAAATACCCCAATCGTCATCGTTAGCCCCAAACGTGTCCTCTGCGATCCCCAACAGAGATATCAGCGAAAAAGTGTAATACAGATATTGACATCATCTCAATCTTACCGCTGTTTCCTCCGCGTCGTCGCTTAACTGGCGTTTCCTCTGCTGCGAGGGACGCTATATTCTTCATTCTCATTTGAGACTCCCGGCTGCGGCGATCCGTAAGTTGCGCTTTTTTTCGCAATCGAGCCCGTACTTTATCAAGCAACAACTATCCGATGGTGAGTTAGCAAACTGGAAATCGAATTCGTTCGAGAAAGCGGTGTGTCTCCGAACTCTGTGTTAATACCTGTCGCCTTGTTCTAACCTCCTCAAGCCATCCATCAGGATCCCGCAGTCTACGTTCCTCTTCTTGTCGGGCGAGCTCAGCCTACATGACCGGTCCTGTTAATCACTTGTCTTCGCAAGCCATGACAACCTCACTCACCTCTCGTGCCCGTTCCTCTTCCTTTTCTCTTTTCTTGCGTTCGTTTGCCTCCCAGCCCGCCTTGAGCAATCGTTGCTTCTTCTTCTCCTTTTTTTGCTCTTCCGATAACTCGCTGTCCGGGATGTCCACTAAAGGGAAGGAAGGCACAACCTGCAATATGTGGACATTTCCTTCATTAAACGTACAAAAAAAGGAGCGGTCTTCTACCGACTTACCTTTTCCTCCGGTTCTTCAATTCCTTGCATGCGATTTCGTATCCGTTTTATGGCAGCTTCAGATGCCTTCACTGCGCTTTCAAGCTCGGCCTCGGACTGAAAACCCGCACTCCTCAACCTGGCCTATTGTAGAAAACCATTCAGTTCTCTACCAATTGAACCTGCTGGGAAGGATGCTGCCTAATGTTACCGTGAATTCGGCTCGAGTTTCCGAGGACTTTGCTTTCTGTAGCTCCGTCAGGTCCGCTAGATTTGCCTCTTCTCGTTGTAACTAGAGAACGTCGCATGAGCGTATGACCGCAGAAAATACTTGTATACACTAAAAAATATCGAACCTTTTCCTCGCGATTACGTGCAGCCATTTCCTGAAGCCGCCGTCCTTGCTCTTTTCTTTTCTGACTCAATCGCTCTGCCTCTTCCTGAGCTTCTCTGGCGTCAACCTATAGAGGAAGAGGCATTGGCCACCGTACGATTATGAATGCATTGACCAGGTGTGCCGAACCTTATCCACAAAGGGGAATTGAATTATGTGTTCCTTCTTATCGATCTTTTCTGGGACAGCAAGCTCTCGCAGCTCTGCCATGTAGTCCAAGGACACATACGTATGTTCCTTCACTAACTCCTATTCTCGTAAGATTCAATGATACTGTCTCAGTCGGTGACACAGTATCATACATACCTGTGCTTGGTCGAGCGTCACTCTGTGTGGGAACGAGGAATACTTGTATTGAAGCAGCTTCAGCATATAATCCGACAAATGTTGACCCCCGTAGGATATTCTAGTCAACAAGAGCAATCCGTCATCGTCAGCAGCCGGCAATCGACGATACTTGCGTGATCAAAATGATCAAAAAATACCGTTTACAATGCTCCGTGATACCGCGTCCCCCGAGGACTGGAATTATGCTCGAAGCTACGTTGCCCGATGAAATGATCATTCCAGCGTCGAACGATCCACGATTTCCATAGTAACTAAACAGTGCGTCTATCCCATAGGCAACAGAAGGGACCTGATATCCTTCGAAAAGTAGCTCAGATACCACTGCGAGAAGCGAGCGTCCATTTCAGATTGAATTGCCATAATGAACCATATCAGGACTGGACTTACATTTTCGACTGTAAGATGGGGTGCATAATGCCTCGCTCATCACTATAGGATGATATATCCGTTCTGTATCAATGCTCAGCTTTGAAAACACATAGTCCAGAGTGTGTTCCTACAAAGATCGCCAGCGTGCATTAGTCTGCAGTAAGTAACAAATTACAACCTTGTGACAAGATCTTACAAAGGTCGCAGAATTTATCAGCACCCCAGACTCAAACGCCGATTTGCTATTGGACCTCATCCCACCAATATGGACATCATTCCCCACCAACAGCGCATCTCTTGTCGACTTGCCCCTATACTTTGCGACAATATTTTCAAACTGCACTGCAAGGTATCGATAAGAAGCGATCGGTTTGTAAGAAAGCCTGCGCATATATATTGACAAAGACAAAGACTGCATACTGTGCACTAAAACACATGCAGTGACAGTATCTTGCTGAACACCTACAGCGAGGCACTTCGTCGGTGGCCCATCCTGCTCGAAGCTGGTTGGACCCGTTGTCAATGACTATAGGGGTGTCTGAATTTCGAAATGGAGTATAGTTGTGATATGATGGGCTTTGTAGGGGTGAGGGTTCTGGAGCAGGGAATATTCTTGAGTGTGGCATATGTGTAGTCTAATCTATATTTCGGGAAGGCATTGGACAGTGATCTTCCAACTTGCCAGCCCGCGACGTTTGGGCATTGGTGAGTCATCAATGGTGATAATGTGATTATCCCGTGTTTACACATTTATAATCCTTTGGATCTTCTTTAAGTTGCTCCTTCCTTCGCAATATCTTCTTCGCATCATTTTCGGTTGCAATTGTGTGTTGTAGCAGGACTTGCAACTCCCGACAATACGTATCATCGCATCTCTTGTGTACATTTATAGACTCCTTCGATATGACAATCCCCGTAGTCGTTTCGGTCCCGGACGGAGGAGGATCCAGCGAAATATCGACAACACCTAAACCAACTGCAACAACAAAAGTCCCAGAAGCCCTGTCGTTTACCACAATCACATCGCTTCCAACCGATATATCTTTCGACTTTGAGCCCTTCTTAGTATCCGAACTGAATTTGGATATTACCCGCGATCGTTCGTCCGCTCAATCAGATGTCTGCAAGTTCTACCTCAAAGGTTATTGTCATAAGGGAGCTGGCTGCCAATTCCGACATGCGCGAAACGACAAGACGGTTGTTTGCAAGCATTGGCTGAGAGGACTATGCAAGAAGGGAGAGCTGTGCGAGTTCTTGCACGAATATAATCTGAAAAAAATGCCAGAATGCTGGTTTTACGCGAAATATGGAGAGTGCTCCAATCCAGAGTGTATGTACCTCCATGTCGATCCTGAATCAAAGATCAAAGATTGCGCATGGTATGCTCGCGGGTTTTGCAAACTAGGTAGGTAACCATTTACCATGCAGAGACTCGTTTACGAAGCTAACACACATTCGGCCGTGCTTCATCAGGCCCTGAATGCCGATACAAGCACGTACGGAAAGCCATTTGTCAGAACTATGTTACTGGCTTCTGTCCAAAAGGCCCTGAATGTTCCTTAGGACACCCGAAGTTCGATCCGCCTTCACAAAACCCTGTAGGTTCCGTTGGCCAGTTGGATGTAATGCAGGGCAACATGATGGATGGACGAAGACCATTCCGACCACTAGAAGAGGTGACCTGCTTTAGAGTAAGTCATTGTTGGAGTTTTTTGTGTGAATTACCGTGTGGCTAACTATTGTATGATGACAGTGCGGGGAGAAGGGTCATTATGCCAACCATTGTCCGAAGCGAAGACGTTTCAATAACGATAGTCAGCCTGAGTTTTCTGTTGGACGCCCAATTCCGACTGTGTCATAGCGTGTTTGTATATTATGACACTGTCGTGGGCAATGGCATGAGTGCGTTGACGATAAAAAGGTTCGATCTAGTTTGCTATGATGTGTGAACTTTGGAAGGAAACTGATCTAGTTTCATTCATTCAGTCTGGTTGTATCATAGTGTGGAAACTTTTAATGTTACCAACATACACAAACCAAATCCGTATTTAAATACGTCGATCACCGCTGCCCTACCCCATCCTGCAATTTTCGATGGAGCCGAGACGATAGAAAATCAAACTGTCCATAGATTGCTGGGGCATAACGATGTGAACGACACAGAGCAGAAAGATACATGATCGTAGCTACTTGTAGGAAGACTGAGTGCTGCAACATATTTATAGCATTGTGCATTCTGGATTCAAGACTGGACATGTGGCCAGTGTAGCGAGCCCACTAGGGCGTTCGGACATTTGATGCGCTTGGTAGTGTCACTGCATTTGCTCCGGTCTGCACGCCATGTATATACATATAAAACAAGAAAGATACAATAAACCCACTAGCTAGTCTCCCGTTGTTGTTGGTGCCATACTTTCCAATAGGGAAAGAAGCTTTTGTTGCGCAATGATGTCCTCCAAGTCATCGGTAATTTTAAATAGAGGAACTCCTGCCTGATGAACACAATTTTTTGGAAAATAATTAACAAGAAACCAGGTACTAGATTATGGATGCCAAAATACGTACCGTCTCCAATGCTCTCTGCTGTTGTCGACGAGTGACCTCCATTTCTTCCAGAATTGACATGTCATATCTTTTGATCTCTAATTCCAACTGTCTTTTAGCTTCGCGCTCCTTCTCTGGAGTAGACCCTGCCATGATTTCTCTCGCCAGCTTTTCACTCTCATATTGCTTTACGATAGCGTTACGCTTTTCTAATAGCTCATCCTCCTTGGCATTCTGTGGTAAAACGAAGAGTTGAAAGTCTGAACTGCTGCAGACAGTGCTGTGTTGCTATTCACGCAAAAGCATACCTGGGCATCTTGTAGTTCCTTCAAAAGATTGAATATCGAACCTTCCTCGCTTAACCGTGCTAAATGGATGAGTACCCCAGGGGTCATTTTGCCTTTACTTGGTGCAACTGTTTCCACAATTGCAACGGATGCCTTTTGCTCCTGATCTTGAGATTGGGGGGCCGGTTCTACATCGTTTGAAAAATATGAATCGTAGTTTCGATGGAGAAGGTCATCCGACGCCAGTGGTATAGAATTCTTTTCCTGGTCGTTGATATTAGCAACTTTTGGACTTTGCTCAGGCACGTAGTATGAGACGGCCGGGGCGGTATACATCTTATTGCCGTTGGCCGGTACTGGCTCTCCCAATCCCGTATATGTTTGCGATGACTGTATTGAAGCTTGTTGTTGCTCAGATGCTTGAGTCAATGGTTGACTGGAAGCGCCGTAAGGTCTCAAATGTTGAGACGTATCAACCCGAACCCCCAAAACATCGACCAGGGATGGCGTCTGCGTTAATGTCGATGGATACCCTATATGTCCATTTGCGATACCAAAATCGCTGCTCGCTGGTTGTTGATACGAGAGAGAACTTGCGGAAGCATTAGCAGACTGCTGTGCCTTTAACAGTCCAGATAGTGCCGACAGGATGGCAGCAACAGACTGCTGTTGTGGTTGCGATTGCGGCGGCTGACCATATTGTGGCAAGCTAGATTGCAGTGCATTGGTAGTAGTATATGCCGTTGTGGAAAGGCTAGGTGCGGACGTGGCTTGATATTCTGTTCGCACTTGCTGGTAGAGATCACTCCCTAACGGCATCAAGCCATGATTCGCAACCGCTCCGGACTGTAAGCCTGTGGTAGAACTTAGTAGCCCTGACGTGTACAGTTGACTACCAGGCTCCGTGGACTGGAGATGTTTCGAATTGGAAAACTGTCCAATTTCTGGTTGACATCGTTGGGAAACATACCGCTGTACTGCTTGTCGACAGTGACGCCAGGAACTGTGATAAAGCCGAATTTTGAAGTCCAGGCTGGAGCAATAATTCTTTCTAGTCTCCGTCTCGCATGAAACCAAAGAGATAAGAGCAAAACTTACCGTCTGTCCTTGTGAGTTATTCCATGAAGACATTTGTTGTGGTAGTCACAGAGGGCGAGCGCGAATTGTGAAGCTGGAAATTGATTTTGGTGGTTGAGCACACGTGCTACTCGATTTTCTCAAGACCTCAATGGAAGCTTTTTGATATCAGTTTCCCACTCTGGCCATCATTCCCCCGATGCATGACTATGCATCTTGTTAGAACCCACTGAGGGTTTCGTATTTTTTAACGCAAGCTATCTTAAAAAGATATGCCTATTGACTAGCTAGGTCTATGCCACAAAGGACATCTGGTCTAGGTAAAAGCCGACTTTCGACCGTTGTAAACGGCGGCTATAAAGCTCAATCCCGACGGAGAACTTTTTAGCTGACAGGATGCCTTCATAAAGTAAGAAAGTATCCACATGATTATATTCAATCTTGCTCACCTAGTGGGGATCTGCCTGGTTGATCCACGGAGCTCGTGGCTTACAGGGTGTCTGAGTCAAAATGACACGCTATTTCATTTAAGGTTCTAAGCCGCAAAGACCCAAGGGTGATTTCTTCAAAGCCCTGCGCTGCCATCTGTCCCCATGCTTCTATCACAACCTCCAGTCGAGGACATTCACATGCCAGGAGCATGGTATGATGTCGTTCCCTCACGCACAAGTGACCCAATCACACTAGACGACGGTGAAGTGCTGGACGTACGACTTCTTTCTCCAGAAGACGAGAAAGCTTTATACTTATTTCATGAAAATCTGAGTGATCGAACGTGAGTGACTTGACGAATAACAATAGACAGAGGGATAGTACTCTGGCGGTCTGTACTCAAGTTGGATTTGAATAGGAAATTTGAACGGTTCCACGGCGTCATCCTTCACCTTTCTCCTGCCCAACTCCACTATTTCACCCACATTGACCAGCATACCCGTGTTGCGCTCATCGCACTCAAACCATCTGAACCTTCGTCGACAGTGAAAACTCCTACGATCGTCTCAGTGTGCAGATATGATGTTATTCCGTCTGATCCGACTGTCGCGGAGCTGGCGATAGTAGTCACTGATGCATACCAGGGGCGTGGTCTTGCCACTCAAATGGTAGAACGATTATTCGAATACGCAAAACAGGATGGCATAAAGGAGATTAGAGCGGCTATGCTGCATGAGAATGTCCGCGTTCATTCATTGCTGAAGGATGTAGCTGCGCGGATGGGTGTGGAGGTTGTGGAAACGCGCCATGCCAATGCGGATTACGAAGAGGACGAAGTATCCGTCATACTATCTGCATAGATACTGAATGGCTTTATTGCTTGGATACAATTACTTTGGCATGGCGCCGGTATTGAAAAAGCAAACTTGCTTTCAAGGTATTTGATTTTTATTCGTACACGAGAGATGGTTGGTTTACAAAGCCACTGTTTCATTTAGTTTATAGTATATTTAGTGCTATCTATCCGTTCACGAGTGATGTGAATAGTAGTATTTTAGTTTCACACAATTTTCTGCATTTTTCATTTGGTAGAATTATATAGACATTTCTTGTATTTAGTGCAGAGCATTCACGATTGCCCACCGTCATTTGCAACATTGGGCAACTCTCATGTTAATTCATAATTCCTGATCGTACATCACAAGGAAACTGACAAAACAATAACATGATGCACAGGGAAAAGTGGATATTTTTCACAATCAAAAAAATCAGAGGATATTTACATGAAGATAAAAACTAGGAAAACTACCCTCTTTCCTTCTGACTACTATGACGCTAGGGCAAATGTCACCTTTCGAGCCCACATATTAAATCATTTGTCGGGAAGTAGTTTGTGGTCTGCATATCGACTAGTACAGACGATGTGCGGAATATGATTGAATGCTTGATATAGGGAGAGTGGCTTCTATGGCAGCAAGGTTGAGACCGTTCTGCTTTGCAATTGGACCTAAAATAGACAAGTAGCCGTGAGTATTCTGATTTGGCTCGACTCGGTGGGAAGGAATACCCACAGTCTCGGTGAGCCAATAGTAGGGTCTTGAGATTCAATATCTCTTCTCGCAGCTGGGTCGCTTGATTTTGCAGATTCTCATTGTCTGTTGTGAGAAAATCAACTTTGGCTTGCAGACTTTGGAGCCATTGCTTTTTCTTTTGCCGACATTTCAGCGCAGCTATTGTGCGTTACAAACGAGAAAACGTTAGTCACTGGACCACACCGACTGCCATTCTTACATGAGAACGACAGATACCTTGTCTGTTTCGTTCCAGGAACGTTCGTCGTTTTTCCTCGGGATCCATATCTTCGACCTTTTTGTCGCTTTTCATATCATCGAACTGCTCAGGTGAATCTTCTGGTGGCACGCTCTTTGCAACGTTACTGGCATTTGATCTTCGGCGCGCCTTAGATGGTGGGGATGTCCTCTTTGCTGAACCTGGCATTTCTCCCTCCTCTTCCTCCACCGACCGCTTACGAGGCACACTAGGGGGTACTTCGCGCTCCTGAGACGGCATCGGAGCCCAAGAGCTTCGATCATGTCCTGCTGGACGCTGTCGCGAGCGATCCTGATCTCGACGCATATCTAATAAGGTTGCAGCTGCTGCTTGAGGGGAGTGGGGAGGATATTGCATTGACAGCATCGGATCAATTCCATTGGCGTATGCGGCATGCCGGAATGGTGAGGGGCCATACATGCCTTGCGCAGCCGGGGGGATTTCATTGTGTGAAGGATACACAGGCATAGCCGGAGCGGCACCTGATGGAGGAGCGAAGGCTGCTTCTGACGGCGCAACGGCCGTACCTGTATGCACTGGACCCATAGGAATGGCTGATCCATCAGCACCAGGGTAGGAGTACGGTGCGTGCGGTCCAAGTACTACACTGTTAGTCGAAGCTGAGGTGTACGTTTCGGAGGCCGGGGGAATATGTGGTCCACCTCCATTCGCTTCTGCTGGAGCACTGATATTAGCGTTTGGTCCAGTGGTGATCGGGGCGCCCAAGGACGCTAATGCCGCGCTGATTGGGGTGAGTAAGGGTCCTGGTGTAAATCCAGTTGAGCCCGGCTTTCCAAATGGAAATGCCTCACGTTCATAGCTACCATTGAAACGCGGACTCGGTACCAGCGGCGGTAAGATTGGATTTGGACTTGATGCAAATCCAACACCAGAGGGCGGTTCTGGTATCGGAGCTCCATTTTGCTGTGCTAGAAAGCTAACTTCAAAAGGATTCGGTTCTAAATCCAGCTTCGTGCAGTTTTGGAGAAAACGATTGGGGGTCTGATCAATAGTAGGCAGAGGTGAGGGGGAAACACCGGGAGGAAAATCTAGTAGACCGATTCGTGTAGGTGCAGACTGTGACGTCGTTGACTCAACAGACTGCGCTTGTGTAGTTTCTCTATTTTCCGTCCTTTGTTCTCCATCCGCCACTGGAGAGTTGGATTCTCGTTTCAATCCCACGGACGCTGGTTCGCGGAAAGCCGTGGCAACCGTGGCCATTCTTACAGTTAATGGTCACTCGCAGTCGTTGTGCTCAAATGTTCACTACACGGGAATAATTGATCGAGATTAGGCAAAGGCCAAAGGAAGCGACATCTCCATCTAAAATTTCTTCACCTGCAGGTCACCGGACCGCTGCAAAGGATAATGGTCGCCAATTCTGAGTAAGGGGGCGATCCTCTCGCAAGGTAATCGTTTGGGAGCGCGGTGCTTCAACGCTGGCCGACAACCGGATTTCCCCAAGGCAAACTACGAACAAGGGAGAGGCACGAGATCGAGAAGAATGAGTCAAGAGGTGCCTCAATAGAATAGCTTGATTTGTCAGATAGAGTGGTCCCTGGCGAGCACCCCCAAAATGACGTCTCATGACGCAAAGCAAGGGTGTCCGGCAAGCGTCGTTGCGGCCACGGCATAAAAGCAGAACAGGCCGTGCAGATGCTCTTGGCAGACACCATGCTGCTAACTACTGTCGTGCCTCCGCAGCACTCTTGGAACAGACTCTCGACTTTTCGAATCTGGCGACGGGGATTTAGAGGATTCTTACCTTGCAAGCTTTGGATTGATATTCAGTACGGCAAAGTCCTTTTTACTCAAGTGGGTAGCGCTACGTGACCCTATAGAGGGAACTCTGCAGAGAGTTAAAAGTTCGAGGAATGGAAGTCAGCGTGTGTATGCCGGGGCGTGTTTACGTAAATATAGAGAATGCAACTAGGCCGGATCCTCGGCTCCAAGACCTAATCTGCTAGCGACCACGTCTGAAAACAAACCTGTTGAGGACGTGGAAAGAGATCGAGGTCTCTGGTGTTTCGAGTAATGGGTCACGGAAAATGGACAACACGCACCGGGACGGTGGGTATCAGGGTGAGCCTGATGGAACTTTGTCTTTTTCCCGAATGGTGCAATGGCTATGGTAAGGGCGGGAACGTACCCCAGATGCACACACAAGACAGTAGGTTGGAATCACTTGCCCCCAAGGATGAACGAGCAAGCAAGCGGACGAGGGGGAAAAGGGTCGAAAGGCCACCACGTATCTGGCGAATATACACGTTATAATCGGTGATAAACAGTACTTTGTAGGTGTGAAAAGGATGATAAATGCAATCGTGTGGGAAAAAAGAAATTTGTTCCAGTGACAGCATCAAGACGTCATTTGTTTGTATCTATTCCTTGTCAAACAGAACACCTCCGCGCCCCCAAATGGCGCCTCATGCACGTGATATAATGACTCATGTGACCAACCGTCTGTTGGATTTTCCCAAAAAAACAAAAAGAAAACAAGATTATATACATCAAAACAAAAGTCTATCAAATCCCACAGATGCCTGTGGCGGTCACGGCTCCCCTCGTCGCAACAGACCAGAGAAAATTAAATAGTATGAGGAAATGGTCAAGGGTCGATAGGGTCGACAGGCTCTCGACCGCAGCACAAGAAAGGACCAAGAAATCAGTAAGCATACTGGTGCGTCTTACATGATACCCTGAGGGAGCAAACACACAATCATTCAGCTACGAGTGTATCGTGGCGCATTTACACGATTCAAGCCCCTTACCGAATCCTTCAATGCATTTTGCAAGATGGTCACCTTAACAGCAGCGAAAACAAGTCTGATGTTTGACGTGTCAGTGGCTTGTGTCAGGCTAACATGGAACGAGATATTTATAAGCAAAAGGCATTGCGGCAATCGCAAACTTTTGAAGGTCAATTCTTACTGTGGGTAGATGTTCAGACGCGCTCGGTTAGTTTGTGTGAATCGCCATAGAATAAACTTTGCGGCTTTGTTCACGTCCGGTCCACCTACAACATAAGCGCGTTAGCGGCCCTCAGCTACAACCCTAAACAACATATGAACACACCTTTGTACTCTGGAAAGTACTTTTCCAGTGGATTTCTTGCCAGTTTGATTTTAAACAGATCGATTTTGTTCAAGAACAGAATAATCGATGTGCGCAGAAACCATCGGCTGTTGATGACGGATTCGAAAAGTATCAAACTTTCCGCCATACGATTCTGCAGCGATAATATCCTATCAATATCCGTGCAATACGCATGCCAATACAGTATATCACGTACCTGTTGCGATTCTTCCAGTAGTACTTGGTCATACTCGCTTAAAGCCACGCAGAAGATGATGGAAGTAACAGCTTCAAAGCAATGTATCCATTTTCGTCGCTCTGATCGCTGTCCCCCCACATCAAACATACTATACGAGGTCGTCAGTTTCACATTTTCAGCAACGTTAGCTTCTCCAATGATCCAACTCACTGTATGCTCAATTGTCCCATGTTGAATCGCGTCTCTGTTATTCCGGTTGTTTTGATACGAGCTCGAAGTACGTCTTGCTCTGTTGGGCAATAGTCACTTGTCCCTATTCTTTTTACATCGGCGAAAAAGCTGTTTTCGACCAAAGAACGTCAACGAAATCGTTTGCCACAGATTTTAGAGGATGATAACCTACTAGGGTGCGGAGTCGATGATGTAGAATTCATTGGAGCGCTCCAAAGCTGTTTCTGCGGTTGGGTCCGTGTAAATGGCATAGATGGCATCCGCAATGTCAGGGGTAATTTTGTATGACCCATCAAAATCTGGGCGTAATGCCATCAGCTTATCCGCTACAGCCTACAAGCGATTGCAAAAAGTTTCATTTCCGCAGCTCCAAGCTCATACGATCCTTTTTTTGACATACCTCATTCTCAGGCTTCGCGTATGTCATGTTAAAATTTGTTATGGCAGCAATAAGCGCTTGAATGCTGTCAAGTATATTTTTATAAACCGTCGGTCTGAAAGCCATTAATTCCTCCCGAGTGTAGCCGCTCTGATGAATAAGTTTCATCTGTTTGACAATGGTCGACTTGCCCGACTCCCCACCGCCTAGAAAACGTGCGACAGTTAATGCCTCAGAAATTGGTGTTACCCGCGGTAGGTATGTTAGGCAGATTGCCTTCATGTCTTCAAGCACCACGGCTGGGTGTACTATGCACGTCAAGAATATCACTCACCAAGCAATAATATTTTGCATTCCTTCTTCAATCTCTTCGAATCCTCTTCAATAGCCTTGTCAATCGCAAGGGAGGTTTTCGACTGAATTATTTCCTCTTTGCTCGTACACAATCCCATTATGACCAGCGTATGTCAAGAGTAGGTGACAGTAATCGAACGGAGTAATATCTGCTAAGGGTGAACCTCAGGTGCGAGGCCGCATAATGGTAAAATGGGGAATTCGTATGGTCGACAGCAATTAAGCGATATCCGATTAGTTAAGATAGATATCGCCTGTCCAGTGATGAATGCCAAAAATTGAGTCCGAACTACAAGAAGAATCCCGAGTTAGCCTTTGACGGATAAAACGTTTTGCAGCTATTTTCATGTTTGTCATCCAAAATTCCCTCCGCAAGTCTAACGCAGTCCACAGCCCTTTTTTTATTCCATCCCAATGAATATCCAAAAAAGCCCTCTTGTTTGGTCAATCCCAATTCCTCCACAATCGACAATGTCCTCCAGCTCCAGAATTTCCCGGTACGTACGTGTAAGATTAGCCCCAAAAGTTACTTTCACTGCGCCGAATAGTGCCCGACACGTATGCGTTCTTGAACGGCCGCGAAATGGAATGTGCCCAGAGTGGGAAACAATGACGCTTTGTAATGCGAAAACAACAAGCGTCACCCAAAGCGAAAAGCGAGAGAATGGGCGGGGAGGAGTATATGTCGGATGTCAAGAGCAGCTCTGAGGGTAGTGTATTCAGTCAAAGCTATGCAATTTCCTAGGGGACTAGAGTGTAATTCCCAATGAGATCCACTTAAGAAAAATGGGCCTTTGGGAAGAAGGAGGAGGAGGGGGAAAAAGGAGGCGAATCCGTGTGTGTGTGTGTGAATGAATGTCCTCTCTCTCTAAAAGCGACGGATCTGGAAGAATTTCGCAGCAGTCACACCAACACGGTCAATTTTTAGGGGTTTCCCATTGTCGGAAAATGACCAAAAAAAGCCGCCCAGCTGAGGATCCATCGTTTCGATCCTTTTGGACTGCAAGCTTTTTTTGGGGCTTTTCTTTTTTTTTTTTGCTGGGCACATTCCAAATTTTTTTATGTTTGATTGATGAGGCTATGATGAAGATACATCAGCAAAGGCTTGCATAATCACGCTGTATAACGTGGCTTTTGTTGTGTCCATCATGACTTTTTGACTCAAGCGCAACGTTTGGATATAGCGAGATCGAACGATGTCTGTTGAAATCACAGGTTGCGTTCAAGAGTAATATTCACATGTACAATCCTTTAGTAAACGCTCTTGCGCCAAACTTTTTGGGCAAAGAATGTTCTGTCCTGAAGGGATTCGTTGGCTTATTAACATGTGTAATGTGTCATCAAAAGCCTTTTGAAAGGGCGGCCGAGATCGGTCCTCATTATAAAACCACGAGGTACATGATGGACTGGCAAATATGTATGTAAACAGAAGGAAAACCACACAATACTTTCTCTCGTCCAACTGCGGCTATGCATGACATTATGACAAATGAGCATATGGTTTCGCGGTACCGCTAACCTACATCTAGGTGTCTTGGATGGATGGCTTAGCTCCGCGCGCTCCCCCGTTCATCGGAGTGATCTCCATTGTCAACATATACCATCTGTTCCCTAATCTAACTGGCTTCTAGTGATCCTATCTGCTTTTTTATTACTACCAACCTTCCGCGTCAACATCAATATCCCATTCAACGGCTGCCTCCTCCGTCTCTTTATGCATCTGCTTTAATCCAGTCACTTCTTCTAGGTAAGCTGGTGAAGCTAGCGCACGTAATAGAAAGTCATCTCCTTCCTTTTGATATAGCGAAAGGACCTAAATGTTCAAAAGAGAACTCATCGTAAGATAACGCATGTTAGATGGAACATTTGTCAATTGGCATGTACCATATCTGAACAGGCCGTGCATTTATCGTATGCGTGTCCTACTACCAGTAAATTTGCAAAATGGGTCAGAAAACCGCGTATTTGATGCGGCACCAAACCGAGAGGTTGCGATGTGGGTTCCGAAGGAAGCAAGGTCGTATCAGGAGGTGCGGCAGGGCTGTATACACAAACCGCATCAACGCAAGTGTCACGATTGCCGAGACATAGAAAGGTCTTACCCATCGGGGTGATTTAGGATTGAGATGAGTAATTCAACTGCGGAGGCAGACGCAATTGCTGACAATCCCGGACGCGTCACGGTGCATTGCTGGTCAAGCGTCCTATCACTCAGCGACTGACAGTCATCAACAGGTTAGTGGCGCGAATAGCAGCAGTCTCGTACTTCTTTACATACATCCGCGGGAGCTACAACATCGTTGCAGAAATAACATCCCAAGCGTATATTTGTGGTTTTGCTGTTGGCTGTCGTCATAGGGACTTGCACTCGCATGCCGTGACGCATGACCAGAAAACTGTCAAAGCCTAGGGCTGAATTTATGACAATCTTGAGACCCAATTTATGCTGATTATTGACTATGCAGCACTAGTAAAGCAGGAAGCAGGAACACACCTTCCCTAAACTGGCTCCAAGAAGAGTAGGAAGCCACCTACTTTCTCGACTGTCCATAAGCAGAAAAACTGCATCGTGGCTATCGATCAGTCCTCGAAGCGTTTCAATATCAGCTTTTGTCTTGTCCGCGGACTCCAAGTGGTGGCCAGGCATGGGAATACTCATGTTATAGCCAGTAGCCTTCTATAAACCCATCACGCTCTGTGTTAGTATACGCTACGTAACATGTGGTAAAGCAATATGCACGGTAGCGTACCACCCCCGGAAAGACCTTTCGTAAGTTCTCAGCTGCAACAACGGCCTTTGGTCGGCCCCCGTCAAGCGAATCCTCGAACGTAAACAAAGGCTGGCGAACCGGATTGGAGAATGACACCCGACCATTGTCAACAAAGGAAATGTGTCGAATGCCCCATGCCTGTCCAGATGGGAGAATATGAGGCTTTATAATATGGCATGTCAACGAGTAAAATGCCATGTATGCTACCATTAGCGATCGTGCAACGTAACAGCCTAATGTCCCAGATCCCAGAAGCAAACACTTTGTAGCCGCGATTTTCTCCAGATGCAGGGAAGGCATGATGCGCCATCGCATGAGCTTCAGGTTTAGGTCGACTGCAGTATCTGCTAATCTGCAAGTATGAAGCAATCAAACATGTAAAAATCGTTCTGCTTCATTAGTCTCCACATTCTCTAAAGCGACGTACCGTTTCGGATCCATGAGAGGGGCTAAATCCGCTAATCGTGAACCAAGTTTCCCTGCTGCGTTTTTCTCCCATCCAACAGATTTTGGGCATTCATCCACTGGATAGTCAAAAAAGCAAAACTGGGATTACGAGATGCCAAAGACGAAGGCATGGCAACTCCAAGCAGACCTTTGAATTCACCAGGTATTTCAATATCGAGTACAATACTCGCTGAAGTGTCACCTTTACCAAGACTTTCACGGTAGCATAGGACGCGAATTGTATGGATATTCCATCGCTTTTTCAGTAAAATCAAGAAATTTCGTAGAGGCCATCCAGGATGACTGCTCAAACCAGACGGATCAGCGAATCCGACCATGATCTATCCATGGAACCATCTAAGTGAGATAAACGGAAACAACTGAGCGTTCTCAGTATAAACGGACCTCACCGCCCGGAGCCTTATCGCCGCCTGCGTCCAGTTCACTCAAGTTTCCTATCTTGACGCCATTATCCCTTTTATGGAGCACAAAGAATGCCGGGGCGACTGCAGCCTTGTCCCCGCCTTTCAGTGCATCGTATTCAACTCGGAGAGATGCGATCTGTCATATATTAGAATGTAAACCACTTTTGCAGCTGCGGGAAGTGTAAGTGGGCACACACCTGGCTTGGGGAGAGAGCCTCAGCGATGGGAGTAGTACGTTTCACTAATGTTGGCTCCGGCGGTAGTAGTGCAGGAAATCCAAACCAATAGTGAAATCGATATTGTTTGAGATCAGCAAATGTCAGGACCAGAAACCGACACAGAAGAGACGGATCCGTAACAGCTCTCCCAGAAACTATATCCGACCATATCTATGGCATCTTTAGCATGCTATGGGCATTACACAAACATGCTCCCCGGGACTGACCTGCTCCGCTGTGTCGCGAAATATCTTCATTTTATCAATCTTTTTGAATTCCTCAATTGTATTTGTATTTATCAAGGTTCCGGGAGCAGGAAAGGTGAATGGCGGACAGCTGTGCATATTGACAATTTATTGAGCTGATACTTACAAGAAAGGCACTATTTGTCCCAATGGTTTGCTTACCTTCCGTCAAAAGAACCAGAACTGACGCAAAGCTTCGCGGGCGCAACACTCGGCTGTACAGTACTATCCCTAGCACTCACAATCTGCCCAGTGCTATAATAGCCCATTAATTCTCGTGGGGCATCGTCCAGTCGGTACAAGTCAATTTTATTCCTCGTAAGTGTGTGCCAAAATGTGGGTTCAACGGCACTTATGAACGGCTCAAACTGCAAAATAGGTTGAGGAGTATCGGGTGTTGCCGTCATGATATCTTTTATAGTATAGTAATATAGATGAGTTGGACCATGGGGAGGAAACCTGAAAGCTTCAAGTGCAAGCAACAAACCGTGAGGGCTGGGACATTAAGAGACGCGTAAGCGCGACTCATGTTTTCAAGACAGTCCACATTGACTCTTTGCCTTCCATTCAACACATTTGCGAATCCACTCCACTCCTCTTATTCACAATCAATATGGTCTCACCAACAGACAAAACACCAAAAACGCCTGCAACAACAGAAGACAAGGAGGCTGCTGCAGCCAAGCTGAAAAAGGGTACAGCATCAATAATGCTCGAGGAGGACGATGAGTTTGAGGACTTCCCCGCCGATGGTAGGAACCTATCAGGACATAGCCGGTTCCTTTACCACAGATATTTTGCTCATCATTCTTTGCTATACCGCGATCTACTTTTTGCTGTGTCCGTATAGCGTGGGAGGAAACTGAAGATGATCAAGTTACCTTGAATCAATGGGAGGACACATGGGCGGATGACGATGAAACTGAAGATTTCTCTGTGCAGCTACAGTAAGTTTCCTTTACCGTTTCCAGTGTGTACGGTGGCGAAAATAATTTTCTCAACCCTGCGTTATGACAGGTCTGAGATGACGAAAAGAAATGGGGCTCAGCCGATGAAGATGTAAATAGTGGATATGATGAAGTCTCGGTGGACCCTTCTAGGGCTTGCGGAAGGCTATATATCTAGCACAAACTGTCCTAGTTGGCGTCATGTCAATAGTTGCTCACTTGTAATGGGGATTAGAAGGATATAACAGGCTTGAAACGCCTGTCGCAAAGAGTCCCATGGATGATAGTAATAGTCCGGCGCATGCCTATGGGTCAAGGTATTCACACTGGCTGGCAGTAAAGGAAGAGCTTATTTGGTCCTTGATTGCGAATACCGTCTGACAGAGAGTGATGATGACAACACGAATGCGTTGGACATTGACTGGAGGATTAATTGGCCCTTGCTCTGCATATTACCTGACGGATTGACGACAATACAGGATGCTCTCCATATAGAATGTGGCGTGCGGCTCGAAGCATCCTTAACAACGTGCTTCACCAGTCCATCCACAGTGACATTCCACTCCAGCTACAAGACAGTAAGGATAATGCTTACAGCCTTAACCGTCACCATCGCTATACTGGCCAATTGAACATCCATCCGACATCCGTTACAATCACGCATCAATCGGTTGGCACAACGGAAAATGAAAAAATCCCCTCAAGGCCATATATTATACACCACACACGTGTTACATCGACTGTGAATACGACTATTCGAGAAGCGCTTACACGCGGGATGGGTACAACATCTAAGACAAAAAAAGGACACTTCAGTATGCATATGACAATGTCCCATCGAGAATGTAGAGTACGTACAATCCTGACACTGGCACCGAAGCTACGAGGAGGAAGGTTGGACCTGAACTTGGCCCTCACAACACCAGACGTTCCGTGCGAGCGGGTGACACGCCCCCAAATGACACGAATCCGACTGCCATCAATGACCCGCTTGGCTTTGTATACGTAGGCAACACGCTTGCCGAGGTAGAAGTCAGTGTCCTCGGTGCTGCGGACACCCTCGATCTGGAGGAGAGAGGTGTGCTCCTTCACGTTGCGCTTGGAGCGACGGAATCCGAGAACCCGGCCCTTTGCGTAGAGTCTGGAAAGGAGACATGCACCATGAGTCGCCAATGTCATAATGGAGAAAATTGCATCGACCTTCCGCCATTTCTATCCTACTACCCATCCATCCATCCATCCGTCCATTCCTCCGTCCAATCCATCCCTTCTCGTCATTCCGCAATCCGTCATCACTCTTCCTACGAACCTGTGGGGGCGTGAGTTGACCATCTCTACTGATAGCTTGCCTCTTTAATCGAGAGGATGTAGCTTTGAGTGTGGAACGAGGATGTTACTGCCCTGCTCCAGTATAGGCAGCCGACACGTTCAATCTGTCCAATCAGCATTAAGCATTGTGTCATGTGACTGTGGTGTGCTAAGCCTCTAATTCAGTGGTAGCGGAGATACGCCAGAACACTAACAAAAAGAACAGCAGCACATCAGACAACTAGAAACCTGTCCAGATCTCATGTTGCGCAATTTGAAGTTGAACAAGTATTGGCCCAGTGGGATTCTTAAAGTATTAAACAATGCAGGATACATGCACTATCCCGATCCGCCATTGCCCTTGGTTTATCCCTTGCCTCAGCGTTGTTGCCAACTGGCCAACTACAGCCTTAGAATGTGGCTTTTTGTTTTCCAATGCGTGCTTTCATCCCTTTTGTGCTCGCGAGGAGATCATGAGGCCTTTGGGCAAGAAAGGTTATCAGCCACGTACAAATGCCATGATCGTTGAGGAGCCCAAAAAGGACTCGAATTAGGGGCATTTTGCAACCTCACCTTGTACCCTCCAATGACGAAACGCATCGAACAACAAGCCGAAAGAAAGGCCTGGAAGTGCGTACTCCCGTGGGGGGTTACGCTCTCTCGGCTCTAACAAAATTTACATCCAAACTCTCGGGAGCAGACATGACGTCACGTCATGCTTAGTTCAAATCCAAGCATTTAAAGCTGAGGGGAGCGCATGATTCACGCCTTTTGTCCACTCAGCCTCCACAGGTTTCTTTCTTCCCACCCTTCCGGTCTATCCCTTGTCAGCAGGCAAACCACGGTCCTCCTTTTTTCTTTTGTCTAGCAGCTGCATACACGCAAAGCAGACTGTCCTTTACCACCATTCTTCCTGTCACCCGCCATTCACCCACGCACCACAATTCCCATCATGGCCGCCGATTTCCAGCGCTACTCTGTGTTTGGTACGATTTTTGAAGTCACCCAACGGTAAGGAAACAAACCAAAAAGTGACGCCTCCTAGCGCAGCAACTGTCACTAGACATCCCGGCGTATTGACCTAGTTCTCCCATTTTTCCCCACCAGATACACCGACCTTCAGCCTGTCGGAATGGGCGCTTTTGGTCTCGTATGGTATGGTGTCTGGTTGCCATTGCGGAGTTATTATCGCCCATCATTTATCCGCTTTCTTCAGTTCGGCAAAAGATCAATTGACGGGCATGAACGTGGCCATCAAAAAGATTATGAAGCCATTTAGCACACCAGTGTTAGCCAAACGTACCTATCGAGAGCTGAAGTTGCTCAAGCATCTGCGACACGATAACGTTATCAGTCTCAGCGATATTTTCATCTCTCCTCTGGAGGACATGTGTGTATAAACATGATACATATGTTTTGGATCTTGAGAATATCAACCAACACACACTTGCAAATCGTTCAGATACTTTGTAACGGAGCTACTGGGGACAGATCTGCATCGTCTGTTGACATCGCGGCCATTGGACAAGCAATTCATTCAATACTTTCTATATCAGATTTTGGTAAGCCTCATCTGCATGTTGTTTTCCGAAAGGTCTACAGCGCTAACACGAACATTCTTGTTGGCAGCGCGGTTTGAAGGTGAGATCGTTCAATGAGAGAACATAACCAGATCCGACCAGGAAGTCTTATTGCAATTGTTCTACAGTACGTGCACTCCGCGGGCGTCGTGCATCGTGACCTGGTGAGTTCCAATGTCCACATGCACTCATGATGAACAGAATGATGACCAAAAAATTCAGAAACCAAGTAACATTCTGGTGAACGAGAACTGTGATTTGAAGATATGTGACTTCGGACTAGCGCGTGTGACTGAAAGTCAAATGACGGGGTAGGTTAACCACCACAGTACTACCTTTCGTGGTCAACCATTCATTTTGTGTCTCCTCGCAGATATGTGTCAACAAGATATTACCGTGCCCCCGAAATTATGCTGACGTGGCAGAAGTACGATGAGGCCGTGGATATCTGGAGTGTGGGATGCATTTTTGCTGGTAGGGTGGTACTTCTTTTCCTCAGCGAACCGGGCAAAAGCCTAATCCATTTTGTCTTAAAAGAAATGCTGGAGGGGAAGCCGCTGTTTCCGGGGAAAGATCGTAGGTTTTATGCACAATACGCACCATGAGCGTAGAGCTCGCGCGAACTAATGTTTTCCTGAGATTAGACGTCAATCAGTTTTCGATCATTACCGAGCTACTTGGTACTCCTCCAGAGGATGTTATTCAGACGATTTGCAGTGAGAATGTGCGTATATATTGCTCAGGACGCTTTCGCATCTGCATGTCAAGTAACAAATCTTTACATTATAGACACTGCGATTTGTCCAATCGCTACCGAAACGCGAGAAAATCCCCTTCAGCAAGCGGTTCCCACATGCCGACCCAATGGGTACGATCAACTTAACTTAGCGCGTGTTATGTCCCACGCGCCCAGTTATTAAATTTCGTCCCTACAGCTGTGGATATTCTCGAAAAGATGCTTGTGTTTGACCCACAGAAGCGTATTACTGCTCCAGAAGCATTAGCGCACCCATATTTAGCTCCTTACCACGACCCATCCGATGAGCCAGTTGCCGAAACAGCGTTCGACTGGTCTTTCACAGAGGCGGACCTTACGGTGGACGAATGGAAAACGAGGATCTACCAGGTACGGTCATCATCATCAGGCCAGCAAGGGAAATTTATTCTGTTAACACCACATTTGGTACAGGAGGTACTAGATTTTCACTCAACAACTCAAGCCACGCCTCAGTAGTACAATCAACCATTGACCACCAATCTGGTGCTAGACAACAGACAAGATGTTGAGATTTCAATCTCCTCTTGTTACTTGAATTGAGTGGACTTGGCCATCGGATGCAATTGAGTTGTATATATTAGTGATAGAAACATATCGTCTTTGGACGGCAGTTTTACACTTTTGGTGTATTCAGAAGTAGGTTAAATGTTAGCTTCAGTGAGCGAATACCAGTTCAGATGAAACCTTACCAAGTTTCTTTGCAACAAAAAAGTTCTTGAGATGCCGAATTTGCCATAGACAGGTGACTCCCAAAACTAGGAGCTGAGCAAGAGTCCAGTTGCGAACGTGTGAGTTGGCTCTTTCACTGGTGTTTCGGAACTCGACTTCGCGTTCCTAAATCCACCAGTATCATGAGGTTAAGATACGAGTTCGTAAACAGCTGCTGACTCGTGCTTGCTAACCTTCTGGTATTGCTGCTCCCGACGAATACTTGCGACCTTAACGTTCAGCTCACGTACACGCAGTGCCAAGTCTTTTTGGTGATTCAAAGTTAGGGTCCATCGCAGCAGTGGCCGCGCAACCGAAGCTGGTACATACCGCTCAATGCCTCCTTCTTCGCGTCAGGTAAGTTATCGTGTGTTGCGTCTCCAAAGAGCAAATCAAGATGCAATTTCTGCAATCGACCCAAACATTAAAACAAGAGTATTTAATACTTGAATAGAACCTCTTGGAGATATTTACAGTCTTGCTTGAATCCGAGAACCATCCATTACTGGTAGTCGAACTGGTCCATCAAGCGTAGATGATATGAGATCGGATTTATCACGGGCGCTATGAGCTTCGAAACCTACAAGCAAATGGCATATTCCCCAGCATCGGCTGTAGAGAAGGTGAAACGTCCTTTGGGATCTCCCTTTTGGTTCACAATAACGTGACGGCTTTCGAGGTGCTATATAACGGGTACAAAAAGGTTAGTTAAGAAGCGCCCTTTCCTTTACGGGCGGGACCTTGTTTACCTCGACCGATATCTGGATTTTATTCTCGTGGTCAGCAGAGTAGCTGTTTGAGGATTCTGAGAACAACTCAGATTTGTAGTTGCCTAAATGTAGCAAGAATGTAAATAGTTTAGAACTGTCGATATAGACAACCAAGCGAACGATGGTGCAGACCAACTACAGTCGTGTCGGCAGGTAGCTCCTCAATAAAACATTTCTTAGCCGACCCTTCTAGGTAGAAATACAGCGCGTTCACATTGGACAAGGTGAACCCGATGACGAGAAGGACGGCTATTAGAGGTCGCATCGTGAATAAATGAGGATCTATCTACGACAGATTTCCGTTCGCGAGGCCAAATGCCATTGTGATACGTTGCCCGTGTTTGGAATGCCCAACCATGAATGAAACCGGTTGGACTCTGATCAGACTGCCTTCCACAGATCGCAGGACGTTCGCACTCGCCATGAAGGGTGCTCTATTGGGCATAAAAACACAGGACAAAGTACGAACGAGTCGTATGAGCACGTCTGCCAAACTTAATGCAATCATATAATCAATAGGATCTTGTTACGGCTTCACATTCTGGGCAACTACGCCCACTTGTCCGCGCATTTGATGGAGATATCTCATGCAAAAGGGCGATCAGTCACGTGACCTAGTGTGGTCTCGTGCAGTCTTTGTGGGCTTGGTTTTCTCACACACTGTTGCCGCCGTCATCCGCAAAGAAGAGATGCCTGAACCTCGGAAGGTTACAGGCGGTGCGTCCTTTATTGTAGGATATCGACTGGGTGGGAAGCATGTTTTAGTCGTGGGTGGTGGGAAGGAAGCGTCCGGAAGAGTATTCTTCGCCCTGGACGCTGACGCCAGAGTTACTGTGGTTTGCCCGGCTTCTGGCCTCAATAAGGATGTCGAGACTCGAGTGCATAATGGGGAGATTGTCCACATTGATCGAAACTTTGTTGATTCGGACCTTGACCACGCGGACATGGTCCTGTCGTGCATTGACGAGCATGACGAATCGCGCCGTATCGCCACGTTGTGCCGCAAGCGTCGTATACCTGTCAACTGTGCAGACATTCCAGAACTGTGCGACTTTTACTTCATGGCGCAGCATCGGAACGGCTCACTTCAAATTGGTGTTTCGACCAACGGTTGCGGACCTCGGCTAGGTGCTAGGCTGCGAGATCACGTTGTGTTATCTCTACCCCCAAGAACGGCGGAGGCAGTGGATAAAATAGGGTCGGTAAGGAAAAAGATCAGGGAAGCCGATCCCGATCCTGAAAGCAGTGGACGGCGTATGAGGTGGTTGAGTCGGTTATGCGATATATGGTCATTTGAGGAAATCGCGGCGTTGGAGGAAGATGGAGTTTTGGAGCTATTAGATGCCTATGAAAGAGGGGACAAGGAACCGCCTCCACCTCCTGGAAGGAGGGGAGAAAACGCGAACGGCAAAAACGGCGTAGGCGATGGCCATGAAGATCGCAGTGCAGCAGGTTTAACTCTGATACAGTATGCTCACTCAGTCCCTTTGGTCGGAGCAACAGTCGATACTGTGGCTTCTGCTACAGGAAGCGCTTGGAACTTGACCACATCTGCAGTTTCTGGTAGCATTGAAACAGCCTCTGCCATTGGAGGCCATGCATTGGATATTACAAGCACTTATGCGCGGGCTCTTAAAGAGACAGGATCCGCTTACATCCAGTATGCTGTGACATGTACTGAGGATATTGTTGAAAATGGACTCCGCCTCTTGCCAGAAGCGGTTTCTCGAGTAGCAAGAGGCACGTTGTGCCTCCTGCCACTTCCCATTCACGTCTCACCCCGTCCAGAAGGAGGCATCACACTTGTTGGGGCCGGTCCTGGGGATCCAGGATTGCTGACTCTACGCGCACTTGACGCCATTCGGACCGCTGATCTTGTTGTGTCAGACCAACTTATTTCCGACCAGATACTGGCTCTTGTACCTCGTAAGAGACTGCATCTTGTTCAAAAGAAGGCCGCCGGGAAATCGGATGCCTCTCAGAATGATGCCAACGAAACTTGCCTGGCTGCATTATCCCGCGGACTCAATGTGGTACGTCTGAAAGGGGGCGATCCTTTCTTGTTTGGTCGCGGCGGGGAAGAGGTCGCATTCTTCCGCGAGAAAGGATACGAACCGAAAATCGTTCCCGGTATCAGCTCCTGCATTGCAGCTCCTGAAAGTGCTTTCATTCCCGTGACGCACCGTGGTGTCGCTGATCAGCTTCTGGTGTTATCTGGTCGTGGAGAAGGCGGCGCATTCCCGGAAGTGCCTCCGCACTATGAGAAGCGAACGACCGTCGTTCTTATGGCCGTTGGTAGACTACAAGAACTGGTTGATCGTATGATTGAAAAAGGTTATCCGAACGACTGTCCTGCAGCTGTTGTGGAGAAGGGATGTTGGAGAGATGGCTCTGAGCGAGTAGTTGACGGAACACTGCAAACTATCGTTGGAAGAGTTAAGGATGCAGCAGTAGGAGCACCGGCACTATTAGTGGTTGGCGACGCGGTCTCGGTTCTTCGGTCAGCTCCGGTAGAGGAGCCACAGGGATTTATTACGGATGGCACTATTAGCCACAGCAGCGGAGAAATCAACGGCGCAATGGTAGAACACAATTGAATGCAACATATCTGCGATCCCCCGCTAGTATCATTAGCTTTGTTTTGCGATTTGGCGCCTGTAGCATGATCGCGCTTCTACCTGTAAAAAGCATATTTTTGTACATTTATATCGAATTTAACATACTCTAGCTTCAGCAAACCCGGATCAAATCCGCATTGTGGTCAATGATCAAGTTCACTTGGTCTGGAACCGCAAGGTATGGCGTGTTGGCACTTGGTATAATGTCAATGAACCACTGCTCCCAGTGCCTTGGGATTGCAGATCGGGATTGTGGCTTAGGAAGAATTACATAATCCGTCCCGACCGGTTGCTTCCCAGGAAGAATATCACAGAGTCCATCCCAGGTTAATTGTGATTTTCACGCTCTCCGAATCACTCAGCAGCTTGAAGGAGTCTCCCAGTCCAAATAAGATGGATCCCCTTGAAGCCCGCATTCCTTAAAAAGAATTCCAGTGAACGTGGGACGTCTCCACATTTCGTAATCACTCTGTTCGTAGTAAATGGAGCCTGCCTTACCTAGGCCGTGAGGGTAACTACCGTGCGGTAATGGCAGCAGCGGCATGCAGGGAGGATGTGCAAGAGCGACGACTCTACTATGTCATGGCCGAAACAGGGCCCCAAGTTGTTAAAGACGTTTTAGAGAGCAAAGGTATAGCCCTTTGGTTTTGATTGAAAAATCGTTTACTAAAAAGTTTCCGTACAGGATGGCTACCATATGTAGAAGGGAAGAGCCTATACTGGAATTTGTGGTGGAAAGGTACTTTACGCACGTTCAATGCCTTCCAATGCCCCCAAATGACTAACAGTTTTCGAACAACTCTACAGGCTCCCGTTACAGAAAATCAGACTACGAAGCTTGTCAACCATGGCAAAGACTCAATCATTTTCCCAAAACCTTGAACCTCACTCGCAAGGTATTTCTCGTTAACCTGTTTCGCATGCCACACAAAATGCCAATGAGAATCCCACCATAGGATACGTTATACCGCTTACTCAAGACTATGCGAGGAATTTATGGCCCCATTTATGATTTTGTCCCTCTCACCTTTTCGTTGCCAAATGATTATGTGCGATTCGTTAGGGTCTATGCTGAGGAGGATGAACAGGGTGTCAAGGTGGGCATCTCGCACCCGTTGCTGTAATCTAAATGATGAGAGTCTCTGAATTTGACCGTCCTGATAGGGTTTGTGGATCTGTAAGCCCGCTGATCTGAGTAGGGGACGAGGGATTTTTCTCTTTAGAGACTTGCATGAGTTGACGTACGATTGCAAGTAAGCCGAGATAATACCCTTTGACCATTAACACGATGTCAATCTTACTCCATATATTTTAGTGTCATTGTGCAACGATATATCTCCAATCCCATGTTAATATCTGGGTACAAGGTTAGCGGTTGATTAGTACCGATCTGGCATTTTCCTCTTTCTCTAACTCTCTACCTCGTTGCTGACAAAGTTCGACATAAGATGGTATGCAAGATGGACGGAGCTTATTATCAGCTGGCGACAAAGTGCTTATATGCCCTGTTAGCTATGTCGTCGTACGATCCTACAACCCCCTCGTCGTCTACTTGAATCAAGAAGGGATAGCCCGGTTCGCAACGGTACGAGATCTACCGTTACGACGAGCAACAACCAGACAACTAACCTAGCAAATCGACCAAAAGAGCGTATACACAACCACAGAGCTATCAAACGTATACGCGCACCTAACCAATACCTCCATCAACAAATTCTCCCCATCCCTTTCACATGAAAAGGATGAGGTTGGGAGTGGGTGTAGATGGACTCTTGGAAAGTTGAGGACATGGTTTGAAGGCATGGGCGTGGATTTTGAGAAGATTTGGAGAAAGTTTGTATCGCCATGAGTTTATTTATATTGTGGGAGAGAACCTGACGTTCATTTTTTTCAGGATACAGGGAATCATTTTGTTAACCTTGTTACCAGTGGCTGTGGAAGTGCCATTAGTGCCGGCAGGGTGCTTTGAGCTATATGGATTTGGTACCGTTTCCTTTGCACTTTTGTATTTTGGCTTCAGTATGACTGATTTGGCAATATTCTTTTAGATATTATGTTGGACGAGAACTTGCGACCGCATCTTCTTGGTACGACAAATCTTTAGCTTAACGATTTCTCGCGACCTTACATTAGTATTCTCTCTGCAGAAGTAAACTTTGGTCCAGCCCTGTCTCTTGACACGGACGTAGACGTTGAGATCAAAAAAGTATTTCACTCAGCGTTCGAATAATAATTTGGAAAACAAGCGAATTTAACATTTCATTCTCACAGCCGCTCATTGAAGATATCATAAACCTCGTGGAGATATCTGATGAGCAAGCCCGAATGGCAGTAAATCATGCATTGGTGAGCAAAGGCGATTTTATATGGGAACCTGGGGTTTCCTCCACCGCATGTGCTCATTGTTTGTACAGGGTATCTCGGGACGACCTGCTACAAGGGGAAGCAGGTCACAGTTGGTTGCGCTAGGTACGAAACACTTCCCTTAGGTGGAGCCCAACTAAGAAGATACTCATCATCCTCTAAAATGTAGACAAGAAACGATTCACCTCCCTCCCTGAATTGACACGGACCAATAGTTTAATGAAGCAGAAAGCTCGGTCCAATAGAGCACAGAGGAATGTTGGACGATTACGAAGGATCATGCCTTTTAATGATACCACAGCAGAGCTGGTGTGTCATCCACTCGCAGTTGGAAAGGTTGTTGCAGTTTTGCATGGTTTACTTACATTTATGACATGCTTACCTCTCTGTCATGCAGCCTGCACTGAAGCAAATCATCCAGGAAATCAGAAGAACGTTACTGTAATCAGCCGAGTCGAGTGTAAGAACCCTGATATATATGACATCTAGTAATAGGTTGTTTGAAAACAAATTATCAACAGAGACAGTGTACGCAACTACGTATTTTTTTTTGTATATTCAACTTAAAGGGGGGGAGCAGAATGGGGGTGGATGCCCATTGACTCGAACTTTCTGCGAAACTCTTCGTCGAATAGGTCGAGATCTTTCTGATCTCTCAGAACGCCCTAGATAACCACAATCAGGTATTTGAATCACACGCAAAAAGGAAAGGACTCGCAATCATTCACCTTTGGTAGATAGCCCAACAGACTTGCAGCATGCTCCCGCAACAATCTCTGACGCTCCTGCTCCACAACGGCCTGTCGATATTTCTCCAGTTCCTCCTCGCGTTTCTGAGCCTCCAAAGCCATCTCGTGTTCCTTTTGCAATAGGAGGCGTCGTTCTTGGATGAGCGCATCAACTGCCCGCTTGTGCTCAAGTTGTTTCATGCGTCGGCGTTGGGCATTCATTTGCTCAAGCTTTTCGTCTTCGGCGTACTTTTGCATCATCTTTTTTGGTTACATGGGAATAACGTTATAATGCTTGTCGGTACGGATTTTTGAATATAGCATATTGATACCTTTTTCCGGAACTCCTCCTCCTCTTCCTGCTCTTGCAAACGTCGGAATCTCTTTTCGAGAATTTGCTCGCGATAGGCGTCGATGAGTTCCAATCTCTTTCTGATTCGAGACTCCAACAGTTCCTGTATATGACATCAACATTTTGATCTGCAATAAGATACCAAGTCGCATGTTTACCTGATCCCTTCTACGAGACTCCTCCTCTTGCTCTTCTTGGTACAGTTCGATGCGAAGCTGTTCGAGCTCAGCCTTGGCGCGTTCTTGTCGTTCCATCTCGGCGGCCAGCTGACAGGAGGGATAGTTCCCATATTTAAAAACTAGCCAAAACTTTGCAGTCTGTGTCCAAAATGGAAGCATACCCTGTCGTAGATAACATTCCGCTCGTCGTCCCGGTGCTTCTTTACAGCTTGCAATTCCTCCTCCCTTGCCCTTTGCATTTGAGCATATTCTTCAATTCTTCTATTCTCCGCCATCTGTCGTTCCTTTTCTTCCTGCCTCCATCGTTCTCGTTCGACAATAAACTGTTCAATGTATTGTTTGGTCTCGTTTTGCTTTTCCAGTCTATGGCGCGCCTCACTTTTCACATCATGAAGCAATTGATTAGCACGTATCTCGGCGTACGAGAAAGTACCGCAGCATACCGCTCATCCTCCTCCATAATCTTCCGCACAATCGCATCCACCATCTCCTTTTCACGCAAAAACTGCTCAAATTCAGCCTGCTGTCGCGCCTCTTGTTCGAGGAGCTGGTCATTAAGTGCTTTATGGTACTCTAGTGATTTTTCGTAGGCTTCGCGGTCCTTTTCGAGATCTTGCTGCTTTTGCTTCTCAAGCTGTCGGTTCATCTCAGCGATAAGCTCAGCTTCTTTTGCCTGTTAAACGAGCCCATTAGATTCGATCTTTCAGTCTTGTGAAATCATTCCGTACCTTGAGCTGTTGCAGATGAAGAACTTTCTCCTGCATCTGGAGTGACCGCTCCTTGTTCATATAGGCATAATTCAACTTTTTCTCCAACTCCCGCAACTCGGTACTATTTTCGCGAATGGATTGTCGCATCTTCTCCTCCCGTAGACGATTTAGCTCGAGTTTTTCGGCTTCTTGTTCCATCTCCTGTTCTCGTTGAATTTGTGCCTCACGTTGTATTCTTTTCTTTGCTGCCTACACAAACTTGTCAACATCCCTAATCGTATTATTTCTGGCAGTGGCAACGAATGAAACCAACATCCATGAGCTCTTCATAAGTCTTCCTCTCTTCCTCCCGGATGCGTTGATTTCGCAGCCGTCGTTTGGCATCAACACGGTCATCAGAGTCCAAATTGCTTCGAAACACAGCATCTCGATTCAATTTGGTTAACAGGTCTTCTCGTTCAAGTTCTTTTCGTCTTAGTTCCTGATCTCGTCGTTCGAGGAGATGCCGACGGGTTGTCGTCGCCTTCATAATGAGAATAAGCCAAGATTAATGACTTTTCAGCGCATATTCCTAATCGCTTAACCTGCCATGTTGCTGGAATGTCCTAGTGTTAAACGAAGGGACTGGGTGTGAGTAACCACATAACCACCATTACCTGATCGTCGGAGTTTCCCAATATGTCCGATTGTGCTACAATCCATAAAAAGACATATGACGACGGCGTAGTCACCGTCACCGGAATAGGGCCCTCGGAGTGATTGCTTTTGTTCAACAGTGACAGCAAATTGCCAATTTGTACCTGGTCAGTTTGGTTCGCCAGTATGAACAATGTCTCGTTGGGAGGACTTGACAAGGTAGGTCGAACGTGGGAGTTAATAAGCTCTCTTGGTAAGCACCGAACTGGTACTCATGTTCCAATTCGTAGGTCCGCTTGTGTCATGCCGCTTGTTGCCCTCCGCCACGTACCCTCCTTCATCCGCTCCCTTACACTCGGCCGAGGCCGCAAACGTTCGCCGTATAGCATAATACGACTAGCTGTCTCTAGCGTAGTAGTCATATTTTTTGTCTATTATCTTTTCGTACACCTGCCCCAGCCAGTGCACTACTCAAGTCCTCTTCGAGCGCCGTCATTATTGGCGGATCCCATATGCCTCATAAGGCAAACGGGGTGGTCGCTCGGGTATATGATCAAGAGAGATAAGTCGCCTTGTTCGGAGGTTTTTATGCGGCATGTTGTCACCAAGGACTTGGTTGAGAGGGGATGGGAGAAACGGACGCTTGGTGCATATCGGGCTGAGGAAGCAAAGGAGGGTGAAGGAAGACATCCCATTTTGACTGGGGAATGTTTCGAAAAAGAGGACTGCCCAGTCGTATGGGTGTCCATGGGAAGTCGCTGCTCAAAAGGCTTCAACCGATTAGCTGCAAACCTGCAAAGCGCTGGAATCCCACTGGCCATTATCGGGTACCCAGACCGATGGAAAGGATTCGGTCACCGAATACGCCTGTATCATGATTACCTCCTAACACTACCAGATGACTCTTTGGTTATCCTGTCGGACGGCGATGACGTGATTTTCGCGCGATGCGACATCAAGGAAGTAGAGGAAGCGTACAAACGCCTAAATACATCCGTGGTTTTCACTGCGGAGCCATATTGCTGGCCATATACGAGTATTTGGTCCCAATATCCGGAAGTACCGCCTCCACCACCAACCAGTGCGGGCCATCGGTCCGGGAGTCGGTACCTGAATGCGGGAACAGTGATAGGCACTGCAGCCGCATTACGAGAGTTTCTTGCCCATTCTTATAATAAGGGCGGAAGCGAATGTGCCGATGACCAAGGCGCATTTACATACACCTTCTTAGAGCGCCTGGAATTGCTCGGCGGTGACAAGAATAATCCAAATTGGCAGAAAATGGGGGTGACATTGGATTACTACCAAGATATTTTTATGAGCTTGCAAGCAACCGTCATGGCGGATTTAAAAGTAGACGTTAGAGCTGGACGTGTACGCAACCGACTAACGGGTGGAAATGCATGTATATTGCATCAGAACGGTAACAAGGATGAAAGTCAGATACTTGAAGCGTTGGTGGAGAGGTTGGGTGTAAATAACTGGTAGTCTAAAAACGTTAGAGACAATCCCCAGTTTCATATCTAGCGATATTAACACAGTAACATAGAGTCCTTTCGCCAGATGCTACGTAGGGGGTATCTCTAAATATACTATTTCTACTAATTATAAAAGTATTTTATACAGATCGTATCATTAAACTTTTGAACAGCATCTATCGTAGTACTTGACAACTAGGACAAAGCCACGACTCTGGTATCAGTTTTACATCAGTAAGTGAGACGCAAGCGCCGTGAAACCAATTGTGGCAGCGCTATGAGAATCAAGACTCGACGGTTAATCACCAAAGGCCAGGGATGCACGCCGAAATGGACAGGTACTCACGTCACAGTCTAACATAACTGTTTCTCCATATCCCTTGTCGCAGATTGTGCACTTGATCTCGGGTACCGGAATGTTTCCTCCTAGCTCCAGAGAAGACAGGTCAGCGGGTTCATTTGGTGCCTTGTCGGTAAGCTGCAAAGCCTGGAGGAAGCTGAAATCCGATAATGTCTGCGGTCCATGGTGCGTGAGGACGTGAAAAGGCCGACAATGACTTGTCTGGTTGAAACATACCGGAGACGATACCATGCTGGGATTTGTATTAGTTGGCGGTACAGTGGAATAGGTGACATTTCGAACTGAATGAAAATCACTTTGATGCGCAGCGAACAAGATAATGAGCTCATACAGAACAATTAGAGTCATGGTTACACAATCACTTACTGATTAGATTTCCTTTTTTTTGGTTGTGTTGGTAAAACGAGGTCATTTGGTGTCAGTGGTGTAAGAGGAGCGTCGGACGTAGGCATTAATGGTTGCATTGACTGTAACTGCAAATTCCATTCACCATGTTCCTGCTGCAGTACATGGAACTGTCGTAAGCTCAACTCCATCAGATCAAAGAACCTTGTGAAACGGTGCGGCTGACCTTAACGGATTGATTCAATTCTGTCGCGTATGACTGTCCGCCTTGCGAAGATTGTACAGAAGACTGAAGTGAATGATTAAACGATACTGCTCCAGTACTGGCCGCCGAGGTCCCCATGTCCATGGGATATGGGGTACCTTGAGCAGAGAGTATGGATGGTTGCTGCAGCTCAACTGGGGAAGTGAGTCCGGTGGGAGTGTCATAGGGTGACGACGTAATTGAGAACGATTGTTGGTGCGGTAGAGATGAGGCGGGAGCATTATTCAGAAACCGCTGCTGTAGATTCTGACTATCAAATGACGATGGTCCGCTGAGAGTTCGTGTATGCATTCCCGTATGAAAAGTTCCCGTGAGCAATTTTGACGGAGTGTTCAGGTCCCTGGGTTTGTTAAGCTCAACAGGTGACATTGACAGTGTCCCTGACAAAACGACAGGCTGAAGCGGATCAAGCGCAGGAGAGTAATGCTGGAGCATACTGTGCTGCTTCAATAATTGATTTTGCAAATTTTGCACTGCCATTTTCAGCTCGTTATTCTCTCGCCGAAGACGTTCAATCAGCGGATCCGCTCCGTGGGCAACCACAGGATAGGACTTTGTAAGCTGGCCTGCAAACTGGCCTCGCCGCATCCGATCCATGTCCATCTCTAACTCAACAATCCGCCGTTTGAGCTGATCAATGTATTCCTTTGCTTTTTGCATGATAACGACGGTGGACGGTTTGTCTTTCGTTTGCAAGCTTGGGACCGCTTCCCTCAACTCTTCCAGTTTGCATTTTTGGTGCTGGCGGCGCTTTCGTTCCAATTCATTGTGATTCGCCCGCTTGGGTTTTCTACGACAAGCAGCAATTCGAGCTCGTTAACATGACAATGTTCTTCAAATCAGTGGAAAAACACAGTTAAAAACCCTTACGGCTTGGTGGCACTTTTGGCAGTGGACGCGTCGAGGCTTTCAGTGTCGCTAACGGCGCTACTTTCAGGAGAGATCATCACGCTGAAGCGCGTCAGATGGTCCCTCCCTACAAGCGGAAGATGGCTTGGTCCTTTAGACGACAGGCAGTTTCGGCAGACGTGGGCCTGCTAATGTCGGTTGGGAGAGGTGCAATGTGCTGCTCAAGGATTGTTCGAGATGGGTGTTCCATTCAGCCACCAGCTAGTTTTGCGCTCGGCACACACGTGTCGTATCGAGCGATAACAGAGATGAAATGCAAAGCCGATGAATTGCGAAGTTGTTAAATATGAGGGTGCATGAGAAGAGAAGGAGAGCTGAGGCTGAACGTGGCCCTCAGCAACGCAAGCAACGCAAGCAAAGCAAGCGCAACCTGTCAAAAGGAGCAAGGGAAGGAAAAACCGGATTTTTCCTTTTGGCGACGCACAGCTTTGGAGCCTTTTGGACATAAAAAAAATGGTTTTTCCCACAAATCTGGAGCAATGGATTGACGTCAATT